CCCGCTTCTGTTTTCTGCTTCATTGTTTGCTCCCGACACATGATAACCTGTTCTTGTATAACAAACTGGCACAACACTTTGTTATATTGATTTGGGAGGACAAATTGCAATGCTATAGCAGGACAGGGGTGAAATCTGCCATCACTGAGGGTTAGAGAGTAGCATTGAGAGGGAGAAAAGAACAGAGGGAAAGAAAAGCTGTAGGTCTCCCTAGGCCAGTCTGCAGACAGAACAGCTGAGAAAAAAACCCGAGAATGATGCAGAGTCTTCAATAAAGGAGAAACTGTCGGAAGTTATGGAATTGGGGGAATTTGGAAAAGTACAGACAGTACCCAGCAGCTTCTGGGTGAAGCAGGTGTTCGCTGGATGAATGCCGAGCCCCACCTAAGTTTTTCTGAATATCTTCAGAGGAGTTTAGGCAAGATAAGGCTCCAGCATAATTCCAAGCCAAGAAGTTGTGGAACAGGTTTTGCACAAAACAGCAGAATTGCCTAACTTTTGGGGGATTTATCCTAATTAGTGAACATCCCTCTTTCTCTCCTCCCAAGCAACCAGAGCCCACCCATATGTGCCACCTGAATGCACCTTGTCCTGACCCCATTTCTACCACTTCCCTGCTGCACCCCACTAAGAGACACCCAAGACTGTCTTCTAGGGCAACAGGCCACCTGCATATGGGATTAGGCCATCTGTTCTACCCTCCGCCGTATCAGCTCTCACATTTCCATCCACACGTACCTATCTAATAGTGATCAAGAAAGTAACTTAATGACAGATGACCTCAAGTGTTAACTAACCTCTCAGTCTGTAGATATGAATAACTGGATTCTATTAAAAGTATTTTAGGTTATTCTTTTGTGGAGCATCTCACCTTATAGAAAATTGACAATGAATATAAGTATATGCTAGAGAAAGCATTGAATATTAACATTAATGTGACACAAGTTTGTGTAGTCTTAGCCATTGTGTCATACCTTCAACATGATAGTGCAAAGCTTAGTATCTACAGGAGTAGTTTACCTGATAAATAGCTGAGTTTATGAGGCTTTGACAAACTGGCACAAGAATTACTTCAAAATTGATGAGTTTGACTGAGGCACTTGTGTGTTGAGAAATTGGGACAAAGATGTGGGATGCAGAGTTGTTTTCTGAAAATGTTCCCTGCTGTGTTTATAGCCCACTTGAAATGTGCTAAATCGGTAAAACTTTCTCCTTAAATCCACACTAAGTCTTTGAAAGCCAAAGCTTAAAAACAGATCCTACTAGTCAAAGTAGATTAGAAAACACTGCTTTTATGTCTGCACTCAATACAATGGCAAGAGAGGGGGAAAGTGGCTATAAGAATTAGAAGGGTTGGGTAACCCTTCTAATTTTCTTTCTCTCAAATCTCATTATGGGATGGAGGCAACCAGTGGAACCTGCATGGCTTTGTAAATAAGTTTGGACATTTCAGTGAGCTTCCATTACATGGTGAGGATCCATCACCCTGGCTATGTATTGCCTCTTACTCCAGCTCTATCTATACAAAGAACTCCATGCATGGCAAAGGTATCACAATGCTTTGTTACTAATTCCCCGGAAAATTGACTTTACCAGATTCAGCATTTACCTTTGAACTTTATACTCCACAACTTTGTAATTGTAGTTGACCTAATTTCCATTCCAAATTAAAAAATGAGTTTTGGGGACCAATGCTGTGGCAAAACAGGTAAAGCCGTTACCTGCAACATCAACATCCCATCTGGGCACTGGTTCAAGACCCAGTTGCTCCACTTCTGATCCAGCTCCCTGTTAATGGCCTAGGAAAAGCAGCAGAGGATGGTCCAAGTTCTTGAGCTCCTGCACCTACACAGGAGACTTGGAGGAGGCTCTTGTCTCCTAGCTTTGACCTAGCCCAGCCTGGATCATTGTGGCCATTTGGGAAATGAACCAGCAGATGGAAGAGTTTTTTCTCTCTCTCTCTCTCTTTCTCTTTCTTTCTCTTTCCCCCTTTTTCTGTAACTCTACCTTTCAAATAAATTAAAAAAAATTTAAAAAGGAATTTTGAAACCTACGAAATAGCCAACAGCTGTCTGTAGAGAGCAGCATGCAAAAAGCAATCCAGAAATAGGAATATTGTAAATGTTTTTTGTGCTAGGATTGGTGATGACAAGATGATTATCAAAGCACTAAGATACTTTTAAGATTCACTTTGAATCATAAGAAACACAAGTATTAAAAATAAAGTTCCAAGCAACTGACAAGTGCTATCCTCTGTTACTGAATGGCAAACAGTTGGAAAAGTGTCCAAGTTCATGTAATATAAGCAAGAGATTAGTAAGTTTTTTAATTATGTCTAGCCATTTTGATGAAGGGGTTTCCATAAACTTCTTGGCTTATTGTGTAGACTGAGAAATGAGTAAGACAGAATACAATAAGTTTGATTATGAAAAATTGTTTTGCTTAAACACAATTACATTTAAAAAAAAGTCATTTTTGAGATTGCTTTGTAAAAATCTAAGTGTTTAAAGATTCAAAGAATAGAGGGAGTGGGAGATGGGAGGGTTGCGGGTGGGAGGGAAGTTATGGGGGGGAAAAGCCATTGTAATCCATAAACTGTACTTTGGAAATTTATATTTATTAAATAAAAGTTTAAAAAAAGATTCAAAGAATAGATAAAGATAGTGTTCAAAACTACTCACAGTCTGAATTCTCATCTTTGGATAACTGGCATTAAAACTCACAATGATGATACAGAGCAGAAGATGGGGTGAACTGGGGGCAGAATTTTCACAGTGGTAACTCGTCTCTGTGGAACAGTTACGCTGCTCTGCAAACAAATTTTCTACACACTCCAATTTTCTCACTTTGTATTTGTATTAATTGAAACTTCATTCAGTAATTAGCACACTTGGGAAGGTGTTTTAGAAGTGGCTTGTTTCTAACATTTGCTGGCACCACTGGAGTCCAGAATGATGCCAGTTGAATGCCATTTCAAAAAAAAAAACTTTTTTTTCTTTTGGCATGGGAAAAAGCAGAGTCATACAGTAGCTCTTGATTTATGAACTGTGTTTTCTAACTCTCTGCCTCCCACGATGTGTGTAGCTCCCTTTAGGGAATGGGTTGGAAGCCTTTCACAAAAAGGCAACTCTATCTCCAAATCCGCCTCCTGATGAGAAATCCTGTGTGCCTTTGATAGGATTCCCTCCATTCTCAGGCCTTGTAGGATTAGGTGAAAGAGTACGAGGACTGAGAATCCTGGAACAGCTTCTTCTGTTTGTCAATAGTCATCCAATGACAAGACAGACGGGCACCTTCAATGACTGGTGAATGTCACAGATAAAACTTGTAGGAATATTTTTTGCTCCATATGCTAGTAAGCATTTTGGCAGCTCTGGGTCATGTTCTGGAAACAGAAAGATCAGAGACAGGATGGAACTTCTCAAAATCCATAAGGAGGATGGGCAGGTGACATGGCTGAGGGGTGGGCGACAGGACAGAGAAATCCACCCATGCACCACAGGAATTTTTTTGCCTGTAAGCAGAGTCCATCCTTGCAAGTGGTTCATTAAACAAAGAGCTTATTGTAAATGGGCCTGATCCTCAGAGGAGAAAAATGATTCTTTTTCACTGAAGAGAAGTTAACTCTTTCTGCCCTTTCCTATCAAGGAAGGTGCTGGATAAGTATTTAGTGATTAATTTCCCCGGCTAGTTCCTGGGATTTCAGTGTTAGAAATAGTATAGACATATACTGAATTTTCTATGCAGCAGAATGGCAGGATCCTATAGTCTAAAGTATCCTTTTTACTTTCCCTTTTTCCATTTAGTAGAAATTCACTGTGTAGGATTTCTAATAATTACCAAACTATTAATTACCAAATTCACTAATAATTACCAAACTGTTGAAATTGGGTTGTAGTTACTTCACTTTCTCTATTTTAACCTGAAATAACCAAAGACGATTTTGACATGGCATTTTTAAAATCTGCTTTTTGACTTTAGTTGGGAAACCTTTGGCCTATACCATGGATGCTAAAAATGACAAGAACTACATGTTTTCAGGATTGAATTTTTGGAGGGAGAAAATTTTTTTTTCCTAGGCATGGATTGAAAGCATCATGAAAACACTGAAGAGCCAGAGAGAAGAGTCAGAGTGTTGTATGTGCCCTTTAAGAGGAAAGCAAGATTAGCAACTTTGGCAAATTTTCGACTTCTATTCACAGAGAAAGAGAAGAGTTGCCAGTGTTGAATACAAAAAGGATGAATGTGAGACAAAGACAGATGCAATTTTACACCTTATTGAAAGCTTACATGGGAGTGGTTTTAACTCCTCTGAGGTTAAAGATAACTTTTCCACTGCAGACTAAAGGTGGAGCTAGGGGAAAAGAGGTTATTCTGGAATGAGTATCTCTGTAGGTCCTGTGCTGTCCTGAGAAGTGCAGGAAGAAGATAAGGCTCCATGCAAGAGAGAGGACGTGACAGGTGCTGAAGGTGAGGGGCTCCCTGTGATAGCAGCCAGCATATAAGTCCATCATAGCATGAAGGCAGAAACTCTCGATGGCACCCTTCTTTTATGAAACACCATATAATTTTAACAGAAAGTTTATAAGACTGCAAGGAAAAATATCTGGATTCTATTTTGCCTTTTTATATTATAGATTACTGTGTTTTCTAAATGGCCTCATGCAAGAAGAGTCTACAAAAGTAAAGTAAATGTTTTTATTTATGTTAGGTCAGAAAAGGCAATGAGGCGTCATTTGGGATAATGATAATGTTTATTCAAGCTTTGTGCATATATAAAAATGTTATTTTCTCTAATTGCATATTTTGTTCCTGTAATGATTGAGTTGAATTCTGAACTGAAATGAGTAATCAATACTGAGTGTTTCCAGGGTTCAGATGCAGTCTTAGCTGTTTTAGATGGCATAAAATTGCTCCAAATTTGGCTAATTGCTGTAAAGATGGAAATTGAATGCTAAAGCTAAAGTATGTTTAACTTATCATTTTTTTTCTTTTTTCAGGTTTTAACTGAAAATTTTAATACCGACTCACCCATAACTCCTAATACAAAGCTTACCTGGGTGCCTTAAGAATGAGCTATTACGGCAGCAGCTACCAGGTAGTAAACGTGGACACAAAATACCCAGGCTACCCCCCAGAGCACATCATAGCTGAGAAGCGAAGAGCCAGGAGACGTCTGCTCCACAAAGACGGCAGCTGCAACGTGTACTTCAAGCACATTTTTGGAGAATGGGGGAGCTACGTGGTCGACATTTTCACCACGCTTGTGGACACCAAGTGGCGCCATATGTTTGTGATCTTTTCTTTATCTTATATTCTCTCCTGGTTGATATTTGGCTCCATCTTTTGGCTGATAGCCTTTCATCACGGAGATCTGTTAAATGACCCAGACATCACCCCTTGTGTGGACAACGTCCATTCTTTCACAGCAGCATTTTTATTCTCCCTCGAGACCCAGACCACCATAGGGTATGGATACCGTTGTGTCACTGAAGAATGCTCCGTGGCCGTGCTCATGGTGATCCTTCAGTCCATCTTAAGTTGCATCATTAATACCTTCATCATTGGAGCTGCCTTGGCCAAAATGGCAACTGCTCGGAAGAGAGCCCAAACCATTCGTTTCAGTTATTTTGCACTCATAGGCATGCGAGATGGGAAGTTGTGCCTCATGTGGCGCATAGGTGATTTCCGACCAAACCATGTGGTAGAAGGAACAGTGAGAGCCCAGCTTCTCCGGTACACAGAAGATAGTGAAGGACGGATGACAATGGCATTTAAAGATCTCAAATTAGTCAACGACCAGATTATCCTGGTCACCCCAGTAACTATCGTTCATGAAATTGACCATGAGAGTCCTCTGTATGCCCTTGACCGTAAAGCAGTGGCCAAAGATAACTTCGAAATTTTGGTGACATTTATCTATACTGGTGATTCCACTGGTACATCCCACCAATCTAGAAGTTCCTATGTTCCCCGAGAAATTCTCTGGGGTCACAGGTTTAATGATGTCTTAGAAGTTAAGAGGAAGTACTACAAAGTGAACTGCTTACAGTTTGAGGGCAGTGTTGAAGTGTATGCTCCTTTTTGCAGTGCCAAACAATTGGACTGGAAAGACCAGCAGCTCAACAACATGGAAAAAGCCCTTCCAGTCCGAGGATCCTGTACATCAGACACCAAGGTCAGGCGAAGGTCATTTAGTGCAGTTGCCATTGTCAGCAGCTGTGAAAACCCCGAAGAGACGACCACCTCCTCCACTGATGAGTGTAAGGAACCACCTTATCAGAAGGCTGTGCTGACTTTAAATAGAATCTCTGTAGAATCACAAATGTAGCTTACCTTGTCATTTTGGGGGCTCCCACTCCAATCATTTGACCTTCCTGCCAATCACTGTAAGGCAAGTATGTGTACACAGAGCTTTTTAGAAATGTGATAGCCATGTCTTATGGGGATGATGGGTATATAGAGTAGGTGAAACTTCACAAAATAGAAAATCTAAAAATTCCATGACTTTCAATGACTAAAATTTGCTTTTGCTATCAAATTTTTTATATTAGGAATACTATGAAGAAGCTTAATTGATGAAATTTCAGCTCCTTTTATTAGATCTTTTATTATGTATCTTAAATTAGAGATGCAACATTGAATTATGAAACATAAAGCCAACATAAATAATAAATTTTTAAATGTATCAAAATTAATAATATGAGTGATTTCCCATAAAAAGCTCCATATCATCTAACCAAGGTATGCAATGCAAGCTATACATTTAGCAGAGAGTATTGTTGAGATATGTAGCTCTGAAATCTACTGACCAGTTCAAATCACTGTGTTTTTCTCTCATAGTGTTTTGCTATCAGCAGGCAGAGGTAGTAGCCCTGGGAAACTGACAATGCCACCAAATTAGTTTCCACAGCCTCTTGTCCAGTCAATGCATTTTCAATGAGTTCTAGAAGCTGTTTTTTTTTTTTTTTTCTTTAATCCACGCGGGAGAAGAAAAGTTGGCATCACTATTTGGAGCAGTGTTTCTCTCTTAAATGTCCTTGTTGACTCCAAAAATCAGGGACAGAAACAAGTCAACCTTTCTCAGTTCTCTGATAAGGGCAGGTCCTAGCTCACCTCTCACTTTTTTAAGGGACAGGATGACAGAGGTAAGGTAGCTATTGCAGAGTTGCAATAAACAGTCCCAAATCCTTTGGGAGAAAATGTTACCCTCCTGTGTCCTGAAACACTAAACTTTTGGCTGCTAGGTAAGGGATACAACCTTTCTTTGGATGGGGGAGGGGAGAGCAAGGGAGGTATTTATTTGTATTCAGAAACAATCACTTTCCATCTTTATCACCTTAAAGTAGGTAAATGACTTGAGTTTAGGGTTTTGAGAAACTCTCTGAACTTGCAACAATAATTTAAGTGGGCAATTTTGTGAAATACAATAAAATCAGTGTTTTAATGCACATTAATTGGATAATCTGAGTCCTATGGAATTGTTTAAATTATAGGACTTGAGATAAATATGTATACTGTATTGCCATGTTAAACGAGATGTTAATCCTAATTACTTTAAGTAAAAAGCCAATCACCAAGTCACTTTAAGCTTTGTAAATTAAGGAGTTATTAGGCACATTCAGATTCATTTGTGCACTTTTAAAATTGTTACTGAGTTGGCAGTAATTGCTTTTATTTGTTTATTTTATTTAAATACACACATTGTCTTTTGTATTTTCTGGAAAGTTTTCTTTTTTCCTCTCTCTCTCCCTTTCAGTGTGTGTGTGCATGTGTGTCTGTATGTGTGTTTGTTAATTTAAATGAACCACACATGTAAACCAAACTGAATAATATAGTCCAAGATTGCCAATAAAAGCAAAATATATAGATATGAAAAATACTTTTGTTTTCTTTCTTCTTATTTCTTTTTCCTCCCTCTCCCTCACTCCTTGCCTTTCTTCCTTCTTGTTTCCCTCGTTCTTTTGCCTAGGAGCAATAAAGTTACATTTCAATATACATGTATATGTTCAAATCTTTTATTTCTATTGCTTCATGAATAAAAGGTTTAGGTTGTAAGTTGCTAGGCAGTCCTCAAGGTTATTATCACAAATCTAAATAATGCACTTCTCTATCTTAGTTCGGGAATGCCAACTCCATTTTTAAAAATTTTACACACAGTGTCAATTTGGATTTTCTATCAGCAATTACTTAGCTAGAGTACTACAGTCTCCTCAGTAGGAAAACAATCACCATGACAGTAAGCAAAACTGCTTTTTTCCCCTTTGTTAGCTTGTTCACTCACATCTAGTTATATTTTGGTTTGCTTTGCTTCTTGTACTTTGCCTGTCCATGATGCTTGCCTTGCTGGTATTATAATGGGAGCACTAATAGTCAATTAAATATGTCCTGTTGTGCTAAGTGTCCCCACAATCCAATCTTCAAAGCCCAAGTAGAATGTTAAATCAGCATTCACATGTAATACTCATCTTTAATTTCCAAGTAGATTTATATCATACTTTAAAACATACCTTCAAATGAGCAACTTAATAAAGGTCTTAAAACACTGCAGAAAATGTGTGCATATATCCTATCCTCCATTGTACAAATGCTTTCAGCTGAGCTGGTCAGCACTGGGTGCAGTGCACCAAAAAAGAGAATGCTACTTCGTATAATCAGAGCATAGGCATCATCATAAACCATTTTTATGGGCTTTTAACAGCTTTTAGAACGGCTATATGTGAAATAACAATTAGTTGCTTATGTAAGCATTACCAAAAAAAGCCCTGTGCAAAATGGTATTTCCAGTTTCAGACACTCTATCAATGATAAGTAGACTGAATATTTTTTCTTATACCATTTACTTTGTCCCTAAAAAATGAAATTATGTAGTGGAGTTAATTAGATGGAAAACAAAGTGTGGCATCAAGGCATTGATCTGCTGTGTGTTGTGGCCTGTGAGTGGGGACCTTGAGGAGTGAGTAAGGAAGGGGAGAGAAGGAAATAGGATTTTTTTATGTCACCAGCTCTTTAAGGGTTACTAAGTTTTATAGATGTATTGAGTTCCCACAACAAGACATTCCATCAAACTTCCAATTAATTTGCTTTTTCCAAAAATAAATTCCTAACTGGACAACAATGTGCTTAGATTGACAAAATCACGATCATGCTTTCTAATCCCCTTGCAACTGGGGGGCTGAAGTGGTACAATCCTAGACCATGAGACGTCAGCAGAAAGTCCCGGGTGTGGTCTTTATGAAAGCTCTTGTATAGGCGCTGGCAGTGGGCACTGCCCTTTCACTCTCCCCAGAGTCTGGGCCTCAGACTTGACAGCTGACACCCCTGTGGCCATTTTGTGAGAATGTAAATTGAAGACATCTCCTACGAGGGAAAAGGGAAAGACGGAGCAGAGAGCAGTCGGGGATGGCTTGCCTCCAGACTTCTTGTGCACACATAAACACGATCTCTAACTGACACAGTGAGCACAGTGTCCAAGGGGAACTATCCAGGATATAAGGCCGCTGAGAGCAAAATGAGGTGCAACTTAAGTGCAACTTGTACATGACGTTTAATGGAGCTGGTCACTGGAGAAACCACATATTTTCTGGGAAGCTGAGGAAATGCCATTATTATTGTAAAATAAACACAAATTAATTGCTTTTGGCCTGGAAATCCTGTTAAGACAGGGATGACTGAGTGGCCTGGACAGAAATCCGCTGTCAGACTGCTCTTCATCTTCTCCCTTTCCCACTCAGAACGACATTCCAGGCTTTCCTGGGACTTTCACTTGAGCTAATGGCCTGAAATCCACAGAGGCCCCAGACAAAACAAGCATTGGAAGGCTTGGGCAAACAAGAAAATTCCATGGGTGGGTGTCATGGGGCAGCAGGCTAAGACACCCCTTGGGACACCTGCATCCCATATCCAAGTCCTAGCTACCCTGTTTCCAGTCCAGCTGATGTGCATCCTGGGGGCAGCAGAAGATGGCCCAAGTGCATGAGTCCCTGCCACCAACATGGGAGACCTGCATGGACTCCTGGCTCCTGTCTTCAGCCTGGCGCAGCTAATGGAAAAATCTCTGTCTCTCCTTCTCTGTTACTCTGCCTTCCAAATTAAACAAAAAGAAGAAGAAAAAGAAAAACCAAAGAAAGCAAAAAAAAGAAATATTAAAACATGAGAAAACTCTGCTAATACTGTCTCAAGACTCCCCCTTTCCTCCTACGGAGAGCAAAATGCATCAGTTTAGCATGTTCAAGGAGAGCTGAAAGACATGCCAAGGACCCTAGGACCTTATTCTAAGTGCTTGCATGATTTCTGAATGCCTGAGCTGTGTGCAAGGGCCACTCCTATTTAAATGACTAAGCATCAAATTTTACTCATTTTAAAATATTCTATCAGTCCCATCCATTGCAAACCCTGGTGTTTATGTTCTGAATGGCCTGCAAGGCCTGTGATGAGTTCTCTGTTTTTTAAGGTAAGCCTTGCCTGTGGATTTCTGGAAACCATGCCTACACACCCACAGTGTGCTCTAAATCACAGAGCCCTGACTTCGTTCTGAAATCACTTTCATTCCTCTCACTTTCATTTTTAAAGGAGCAGCATGACCTGCACTCCAGAGAAAAGGACTCTGGGCACCACATACCACATGCAAGTAGGGAGGAACACAGCACGCACAGACTAGGCAGCAGGGGCACCTGGCAGACGCTCGGCAAAGCTTCTCCTGAATCTGAGACCTTTGGAAATGACGGCAAGTAACTCAGACTCAGTTCAGATACATTTGCAGGCGCAGAGAAAGCAAGGCCCCAACAGGGGTCATTTTCCTAAAGAGACAGAATGATAGCGATGCTGAGAAGTCATTGTCGGGCTGCATTGGTGGAGAGTGTCTTCAGTAGGGAATACTAACTCCACGTGAATTCCCACTTGCTTCACTCTTTCACTGCTGTCCATTTACTAAAGCACCTTAACACGCTTTTCTAAGGACTACGTTGCCGGGTTCCGAGATTTTGAGGGGGACAGCATCCAACTCCATATTCCTTTCCTTGGGAAGGTCTGCACCTGCCGAAGGGCTGTTCTGTGAGGAGTGTGGAAGCTTAGATCGGCCCATATATATTCCTGCATTTCTGTAGACTCTGTGTTGCTGAATACCTAGCAGAGAAATTTTTTAAAAAAAAAAGAATAAAATAAGCTCCTGCCTTTGGCTGTTTGATTGCATTGATTTATTCTATTTTATAAATACTTTAAGGGAAGGGGATACTGTGGCTAGAATTGTCTGTCGTCCCAGGCAAAAAGCAGCTGGCTGAGACTGAGAATCCTCTAAATAAATAAGGCAAGCTGTGCAGGGCAATCGCTCATCCCCAGCCCTGGGTGAAAACTTTGAAGACTCCTCAGGCTGCAGAGAAACAGGTTAATTATTGAGAGAATTTAAGCAAGCCCCACGGATGAAAACTCAAACAAATAGATTAAGTCTTGCTAAATTACACAGCCTGAGAAAACCTTTTTCTCTATGCTATCATTTACCTCCAGGGGCCCATAAAACATCCTTAATCACTATCTAAGTAACTTGAACTTGAGACAGGAAAAGGCCCAAGAGGTTTAGTCACTGTGAAACCGTCTTTACAAAAAGTTATCAGAAACCTTCAAATTTCCACATAAAATACTTCAATCACATGCAGTGCTCTCTGTGGTTAAACTCCCTTTGCTTGAATTAGAAGCACATGTTGCAGATCAATTATTTATGGTGCTGCTGGTTGATGCTTTCTGACATTAGTTTGCCTGGGGAATGAAGAGAGGCTGGCCATAGGGGCCAGGCTAAGGGCAGAAATAGCCTCTGCGTGCTGCCAGTTCTAGGACTAAGATTTGTAGGACATCAGTGGGACATCAACTTATTCAACCAGATCTGTTTACAAAGGAAGAAGCCTCCTTTTCTATCCAAAGAGAGACAACTTGAGTGACAGAACCATGGTTACCAATGACCAGCCACGGGCTCTTTGAATCACTATAAGAAATAAACAGTTCTCTTGCTCCCCAAAGCTGAGATATTGTTGTTCTAAGTCATTAAAAGAAATGACCATTCTAAGATTCTTTGTTAAGTACAAGTTACTACCAAAGTGTTGACTGGTCCAATACTTTATGGAGGCTGGGCAAGGAGGGAAATGAGAGAAATAGGTGGGAAAGTCACCATGAATGAGGGTCATCTTCTCCAAAATGTATTCAAACAAAAACAATTGAACGAAAACAAACTTGCCCCTTGTTAGGGAAATGCTGATGCTTAGGAAGGCACATCCATGTACACGGATCCATTGCTGCCAAGCCTTTCACCTTGGAAGCTGGAACATCCAGTCCTCTGGAAGGGCCAGCTTTAGGGAAAAGCAAACACAATGAACAGCAGGTTTTTCTTACAGGAGCCTGACCTGAGAGTGACAGAGACTTGCGCTGGCACAGCTGCTCATCCTACGAACTGTGGGATCTGAGGCAGCGCAGCTGGCTTCCCTGGTTTTTCATTTTTTTTATCTTCAGTTTTTGTTGCTTTTTAAAGCTATCATTAAAAGTGCAGGGTTAATTGCCAATGCTTGAATATGATTTCTTTTTTTTTTTTTTTTTTTTTTTGCTGTGTGACTTTGGGTAATTTACTTAACCTCTCTGTACTCAAGTTTCCTCAGCTATAAAGTAAGAAAAATCATAGTCCCCACTTGATAATTGTAAGGCTTAAGTGTGAAAATATCTGTTAAGCCTCGAGAACAATGCTTGGCCCAAAGGAAGAGTGAATAAAATATAAACTATCAGTACTATTGCCAGCTGCAAATTCATTCTCTTTTAGGCTTTGTCATTTTGTATTTTTTCAGTTTTTAACATTGAGCTAGGCCAAAACATAAGCAAACAAAATTTAAAAGGAGTGATCATGCAGTCATTTGACAGAAGAAATATAAATTATTCCCATCCTAATGTAAATGATTCCTGAACTGTCTTCCCCAAATCACTTCTGATTGCCTAAGTCACACTTCCTCTTCATGGTGTGAGGCAACATGCTCAGTAAAATGGTGTTTTGAGAGTAAAATTCTACTCTACTAAGAGACATATAAAAGTTAGCAAGCAATACCAAACCAAGGGAGAATCAAAGGGATCACATAAACAAGACTAGTGTCTGCTAATAATAACTGATAGAATTTAAAAGGGAGAGAACGATCCAACATGGGAAGCGGGATACACAGCAGACTCATAGAAGGGCAGATGTCCTAAACAGCACTCTGGCCTCAGAATCAGCCCTTAAGGCATTCAGATCTGGCTGAAGAGCCCATGAGAGTATTTCAGGCATGGAAAGCCAAGACACTCTGGGGAAAAAAAAAAAAAAAACTAAATGAAAGATCTCTGTGAGTGAGATCCCAGTATAAAGAATGGGCCATCAAAGAAGGAGGTACCTTTCTCTGAAGGGAGGAGAGAACTTCCACTTTGACTATGACCTTGTTTAAATAAGAAAAGAGTTGGTGAACTCAAAAGGCTTCCATAGCCTTGGCAACTCATGACAAGAGCCTAGGGTGATTACTGACGCCATAAACAAGAGTGTCAATTTGTTAAGTCAACAACAGGAGTCACTATGCACTTACTCCTCATGTAGGATCTCTGTCCTTAATGTGTTGTTCAATGTGAATTAATGCTATAACTAGTACTCAAACACTATTTTACACTTTATGTTTCTGTGTGGGTGCAAACTGTTGAAATCTCTACATAATATATACTAAATTGATCTCTTGTATATAAAGAGAATTGAAAATGAATCTTGATGTGAAGGGAATGGGAGAGGGAGCAGGAGATGGGAGGGTTGCAGGTGGGAGGGAAATTATGGGGGGGAAGCCATTGTAATCCATAAGATGTACTTTGGAAATTTATATTTATTAAATAAAATTGAAAAAAAAGAATAAAGGGATAATTAAAAAAACAGCATAGTCCTTCTTCATTGTTGACTTTAATTGAAGTCATTTATAAAATTGACTTTTATAAAATTTTCTTCCTATTATAGTGACTTTCTTATTTTTAAACTGGGATATGTTCCAGTAAATCAGAGGGGTCCTGAGAGGATCGGGTTAGTTGTCCGAAAATGATCCATCACAACCCCCAGAAAAGCTGCAGCTACCTGAACCTAGACAGCCTCGCTGTCTACAATTGCTGGTGGGTCCCTTGAATCTGCAACTCACTCAGAACACCTAGAACCACAATGTATGTTCTAGGAAAGAAGCAACATGTTGAACTCCCCTGGGATGGGGGAAGAACAATACATTTTTCTTTAAAATATGGCATCTTTTTGGTAAAACCAGGTAGGAGTAGATTCAAATTCCAGATGTGCCTGCTTGGCAATTTGTTAATTCCCCTTTAGATTGGCTTTCTTCATGAGTGTAAACACAGCAGATAATATTTGCCTTGTGGACTGTCTTAGTTTGTTTTGTGCTGCTGTAACAGAATACCACAGAATGGCTAATTTGTTATGAGAAGAAACTTATTTGCTCACAGGTTTTTTTTTAAAGAGTTTACTAAATTTTTTTATTTATTTGAAAAGCATAGCGACATAGAGAGAGGAAAAGACAAGGGGGCAGAGATCTTCCATCCGCTTGTTCACTCTCCTACATGGCTACAACAGCTGGGACTATGTCAGTATGAAGCCAGGAATCAAGAACTCCATCTAGATCTCCAGGATGGGTGGCAGGGACCCAGTTCTTGAGCCAACATCTGCTGCCTCCCAGAATGCTCACTGGCAAGAAGCTGGATCAGAAGCAGAGCTGAGACCAGGATCCAGATACCACAACAGTGGGATGTGGGCATCATAAACAGTGGTGTAATCTGCTGTGCCACAACATCCACCCCAACTGGCTCACAGTTCTTTGAGGCTGGACGTCCAAGATTGATGGCCAGCATCTGGTGAGAGCCTTCTTACTGTGTCATCCCATGGTGGAAGATAGAAGGGCAAGAGAAGGCAAGACAGAGAGGAAAGGAGTCAGTGTGTCCCTTTAGTTATAAACCCTTTCATGGAATAAATGCATCAGTTTATTCAGGAGAGTGTGGCCTGATCATCTCTTAAAGGTCCTGCTCTAAATACTGTTAAAATGGCAATTAAATTTCAGCATGGGTTTTAGAAAGAGACAAACATTCAAACCATATCATAGGCTAATTATAAGAGTATATTCAGATGCCATTATGCATACATATTGATAGGTGTCTATGCACATATATGTATGAAGATATGTCAAAACATTCTTTGAAAAATGAAATTAAAAAATAAACTTTTTAAAAAGATTGATTTCTTTGGCTGGCGCCGAAGCTCATTAGGCTAATCCTCCGCCTGCGGCACTGGCACCCGGGTTCTAGTCCTGGTTGGGGCGCCGGATTCTGCCCCGGTTGCTCCTCTTCCAGTCCAGCTCTCTGCTGTGGCCCAGAAAAGCAGTGGAGGATGGCCCAAGTGCTTGGGCCCTGCACCCGTGTGGGAGACCAGGAGGAAGTACCTGCCTCCTGACTTCGGATCGGCACAGCGCCAGCTGTAATGGCCATTCGGGGGGTGAACCAACGGAAGGAAGACCTTTCTCTCTATCTCTCTCTCTCTCACTAACTCTTCCTGTCAAAAAAAAATTTTGATTTCTTTGAAAAGATGAGAGGGGGAGACAGAGAGAGAGAGAGAGAGAGAGAGAGAATTTATATCCACCATTTGTTAAATTCACTTCCCAAATGTCCACAACAACCAAGGTTGGGTCAGGCCAAAGCCAGGAGCCAGGAGCTTCCTCCTGGTCTCCCACGTGAGTGCCAGGGATCCAGGTTTTGGGCTGTCATCTGCTGTCATCCAAGGCACACCAGCAGGAAACTGCTGGAGAAGCAGAGCAGCCAGGTCTAGAAACAGCCCTCCAGTACGGGATGCTAGAGTCACAAGCAGTGGCTTAAGCTACTGCACCACAACGTCAGCCCCGAAAGGCAAGTTTATTTTGGTGCTTCCATACTGATGTGGTCGTTGATGTCTGAGGTCATGTTTCCAAATGTATCCTTTCCCTGATCTCAAGAGAAATTGGGCTTGGTTCCAGCCCTGCTACTAATATACTCAACCTCTCTAGTCTTCTGCTTCTGACCATTTACCACACAGATGTTATTTAGATCTTTTCAAGGTTCCTTACAACTACAAAATGTAA